ATATTGGTTTCCCTTGATGATTGACGAACAAAAGAGAAGTAGTCATCTCCTTGATGTGTAAAGAAAGCAAGTGAGTACTGGAGATTCTGTATTCTTTTTTGCAGCTAGTCTATTATTCGATTATTTTTAAAAAAGGAAGGCTCAAAAACTGCACATTTCTAATTCATCAACTGAAAAACCAAATCTACAGTGGGGTTGCAGAAAATATTGTCTCTCCTGGAGTCAGATGATGCCAATGTACGGATTCATGCTGTGAAGGTGGTGGCCAACCTTGCTGCTGAAGATGGATTTCATCTTTCTCTTGAAACTTCTTATCAGATGTGAATTGAATGTCATCCCTTTCTCTGGGAGCATGTTTGTATCTTCTTAAGTAAATTTCTCAATCAATATGGCTGGGATGGATATGTGGTGTTTGTTTGTTTAGGTTGGTGTTGCTTTTGTGTAGTTCAAGTTTCAGTTCATTGTTCGTGAGTCTTTGCGGCTGCTCTAACGTCCGTGCGATCTTTACTTAGTTAAATCTATCCATTCATGTGGTTTTTTTCGGTTTTATAATCAAAGAGCACATGCTGCTCCTACGTAATTTCACTTACCAAAATCTTGCTAAGGTCTTTTCGAGGACAACAATCTGTTGCTCTGTTTCCTCTCTGAGTACTATCCCTCTTATGTTGGAGAAGAAATTTATTGGAATTTCACCTTTTTGAGTAGTTGGAACAAATGTCAAATGTCGCCCTCTCATATGCTTAGAGTGCATGCACTCCTGTCAAATTCTCATAAATTCAATTACCGACTCTTTATCAAGAACTTGAGTCGTTTTAAAATGGCTTCTTGGGAAAGGAGATATAGGCTACTTTGGCAATCGGATGGCATATAAAGACGGTAAATTCATAGTCTAAATAGGAGGCTAACAGTGAATATTGATAGGGAGAAAACCATCTAAAATTATCATAAATACATTTTATTATCAAGAACTAGTAATTAAATATTAAACATCTTTTAATGTGAAATTATCATGCCAATTCATGCATATTATCAAAATTTTCCTGGTTTCTTTCTTCTTCTTCTTCTTAAATTAGCTATGCATAGATCAAACTAAGTATACATAATCTACTGAAGCCATTATCTTTTTCTACAACGTGATGAAATTTCTAGAGCTTTCTTAATTTTTTATCATAAAAAATTATCATAAAATTATCATAAATACATATTATTATCAAAAAATTATCATAAAAAAATTATCATGAAATTTTTTTCATAAAAACAGAAAACCGAGCCATGAATAAAAAAGCAAAAAAAAACAAAAAAGAAGAAGAAACCGAAAACCAAACCGAACCAAATCGGCTTATCGGTTCGGTTCCAATTCGGTTCGGTTTCTATTTGGTTCGGTTCAAGGAGGCACCCTTAACAGTTCGGTTCGGTTTTTCAAGAAAACTAAATCGAACTGAACCGTTCACACCCCTATTAGAAATCTTCTAGGAATATTTAGGATATTTCCTTTGATTTTCTATATCTCGTTTGATTATGCATATCAGATTTGATTTCATTTAAATTTTCTTTATCTAAGCCTATAAATAGGCTCTCTATGTACTCTTTTTAATATATCGAAATATATACAATTTATCATATTTCTCTCTTCCGCAATTCTTATATTTAACTAAACGAACGGAGCCTTAGTCAATATTACATGCCATATTTGAATAGTTAATCTTGATTGTCATTAGAATTTGTTAGAGAAACGTCTCAAGAAAATTTTGATGATCTGAAAACTATCCTTAGTATGATATGTTACTATGATGCTTACAGATGTCCGTGATAATGTTTTAAAGAACAAAAGTGATATCCATAAAGGAAAGAGATCACGTGTCTGTTCTATCTATAAATAGCACCAACGGATTTCCAAGATTAGCTACACGACAATGTTTTTTTTAAGCTAAGGAGATTAGGACGTTCATGCTATTATAGCAACGGATCATTGAGTATGGCCGTTGGTTCACTATTATAGTCATTGTGGACTAGACATACATAGCAGAAGAAACGGAAGATATGAGAACAGGCCATCTGACAGTATGTCAGAGCCATAGAGACAGAATAGTAGCAGAAGCTATTTCGAGTAGCCTGCAAATGTTCTGGAAAGGCTGTGTGGGCAAAATTCCTTTCTCGAACAGCAATACCAATGAACTCCTAATGGCTCTCTTGCTTCTAGACATCTCCAACGGTCTCATTGAGGATTCCTATAAAAGAAAAGATTATTGAAGCCAAGATGTTAGTGGCGTGCTTACACAAATCTAGAAATCTGCAACAAGTTATGTTCTTAGCAAAAAGCTTTTATCTGTATGTGAATCTTGCTATATTGAAATTGTGCTAAAAGATCAAGTATACTAAGTAAAAGCAACAGCAAAATCCCGATAGTGTGACGTATAATTGTGCTAAAAGATCATTGAACTCCTAACGACTTGTGGCCGTTAGTGGTGAGAGTGGACGTGAGCTTGTGGATAAAGCCGAATTACTATATATCTTTAAGTGCTTCCATTTCTCTCTGTTTCAATCACATAAGCACACAATCAGCTCATGATTTCTGAAATATCATCTGAACCCGATCTTTACTTAGCACTTATTGTTTTGTGCAAAAGTTGTTAAAAATCTTGAAACAACCTATTCACCCTCTATAAGTTGTATTGTTAGCCCCAACAAAATTAGTTTATATAAATTGCATGTCACATGTCACTAGTCTAATAATTCATGCATATTAAATTTAGATTAGCATAGCATATAGTTTAGTTTTTCTATAAACAAGAAAAACCCAAAAAGAATTGCATAATCATTTAGAAATAATGTTTGGGCTAGGCATGCATTTTTTAAATTAACAACTTGCAGATATTTGGAAACTCAATCATAATAAGTTGTGGTTTATTTTGCATTGAGGTATCTAAATTCTTTCCCTTCCCTAGTCTAGCAATTTATTTAATGCTTTGGTTTATTGGTTGTTACTTATTGATTGTGTACCCGCATGGTCATCCATCACATGCTAGTGTCTAGGTCAAAAATCAATCCAAGTTGCTTACAGGATATTTTCGAAAATAAAGAGATAAGGTACCAAAGGACAATAGATTAATTTAGCGTAATCAAGTCCTTGAATCCATTGACTCTCTTATTCGTAGAAGTAAAATATGCTCCCACAATTTACTTGGGTTTCTAATCAACCTACTAATAATAGATTAGTGGTGACTCCTGAATAAGTTAATTTGCATGTGAAGAGCCCGAACTGAGTGTAAATTTAGTAATTCATTAGTCATCCCGTGGGTGGTTCCCCCTAAGATCCGTCCTAGCAAAGCCTGGATCAAAGAGAGAGAGAGAGAGAGTTAAAATAAAAATAAATAAAAATAATTCCTGACATAATCAATCTACATATGTCAGAAAGATCATGAACAAACAAAGCGAGCTCAACTTGCTGACTAGTAAAGAGTATAGCATAACTTGTGAATGAATGACAAATTCTAGCGGTATGTGAAGACAGTGAAACAAGCTGACAAAAGGCTTGAGAGCGAGGTTACATGGTAGCCAATTGTTTGGTTATGTTCATGTCAACGTTACGAAATATAGCAGATATCATGAATGAGAGTCAGATCAAGTTCTTGCAAGGCCTCCAAGTTGTCAAAGACAAAGATATCAAAAAGAAAAGGAATAAGTGCACTGAAAGTCCTAAAACTTATCACGAAAATATAATTGAGTGCTAAAATTTACAAAAAGTGCAATCAAGTCCTAAAATTTGTTAGATTTGTGCAATCAAGCCCTTCCGTTAACTCAATTCAACTTGGCTAATGAAAAATGCTGACGTGATTTTTTTTAAAATATTTTTTCTGTACTACGTGGCGATGACGTGACTAAATCATGAAACATAAGGCTAAAACGATATCATTTTTGTCTAAATGTGATTTTTAATATAAATTTTATTTAAATTAAAATTTTAAAATAAGCTATTAAAAAAAAGGTAGGAGGGCTGCTTTTTTTCCTCACCTAGTTTCTCCTCCTTCCCTTTTTTTTTATTTAACTTATTTTTTACATTTAATTTAAATAAAATTTGTATTAAAAATTAGGTTTAGATCAAATCGATGTGGTTTTTTAGCCACGTCATCGCCACGTAGGATAAAAATAATAATAATAAAATGCCACATTAGCATTTTCGTTAGCCAAATTGGACAGAGTTAACGAAAAGACTCGATTGAACCAACTTGACTAGTTTTAGGATTTGATTACATTTTTTGCAAGCTTTATGACTCAATTGTACTTTCGTGACAAGTTTTAGGACTTCCAGTGCACTTATCCCAAAAGAAAAATGCAAGAGGTTAAAGAAACAACTCTCGAAGAATTTTCTCATTAGAAAAAACTAGGAAGATCGTGAATTGTCTTCAGATCAGTTGAAGCACATTGATCCATCCTCTCCATTATCTTGCTTGTCTAACATGTTTAATAGCATGAAAGTCTTCTTCTTTACATTGAATAAAGAAGGGAGGAAAAAGCGGGAAAAATGTAGTGACTAGTTGAGGTAACTTAGACTTGTACAGAGAAGTAATAAGACCTAAATGTAAATGCTATTCTCTCTGTGTAGCCATTGTGAGTACTGATCTGTCAAAGTTGTTGACAGAGGAGCTGGCAATATCAGATACGAAAAATTACTTGCAAATTCTGAGTTCTTCCTTATTTATCACTAGTTGAAAAACCAAGTGTTGCTCTTCAACTGATCCTATCGTATTCATACATAAAATAGTAAAGGTGGGTTTGATCAAGCTGTCATAAAATCCACAAGAAACTACCTCTCAAGTTTTTCATTCTTCGTAGTTGGTCGACCTGAAACTCATCATGTTGACCTACTGCATTAACAGAGTGAGTCTCCACCAAGGGACTACCATGGTCGGCCATATTGTGTGGCTACTGGCAGTGGGTTAATCTCCCTATCCCTCGGGAACAGGTCAGTTGCCCTCTTCTACAATTAATTGACCCATCTAAACTACAAATAGAGCATAGCTCATTAGTTCATCCAATCTTCACGAATCAACCGTGCCATTAGAAGTCATAGAATCACATCAATTCCTCATGACTCAAGACTCCTCATAGATGTTTGGACGCATCTTGCAACTTCAATGACAAGGATTAATTTGCATCCAGTGAACCAAAACATTAGTACAGGACCCTCCAAAATCATCAATATCACCACTTAATGATGACAATTCGAACTTGTATCCTACCTGCTGCTTCTCCAGAGAAATATCGTCCTCACACCACAATAAGGGATCTCATGTCTCAACATATCCGATGGAAAGCCCAAGTCAGATGATGTGCATACTGCAAGAAGATTGATCATGTTCTAGCAGCATACAACTGGAAGGGCACTCAGAATGAGAGCATTTGCAGAATAATATTGTGCCGTTACAGATTGTCAGTCAATCGTCTATGATAACCGCAACATTGTCTGGCACATAACCGATCTCTTTTATCTGAAGAATTAAATAGTCCAAAACTAAAAAAATCAAATCGGCCTCATAATGAGTCTGGTCTCTAGCAACAAACACATGAACCTCATTATTAACTTCTATCCAACTTTTTCCTGGTTCTTTTAGGACTCCAGTCTCGTCCATTCTCTGCCTCACCTTCTTTACATCAAACCACATTCCTTTTGATGCAAATATATTTGAGAGTAGTGTATAAGATCCACTATCCGTCGGGTCCCAAGAGATTGCCATCTCAGCAGCATACTTTCCTAATTCACTGTCACCAGCATTCCTGCAAGCACTGAGCAAGCTCCTCCATACCAGCGCCATCGGTTGAATTGGCATTGTCTCAATGAAGTCCACAGCATCCTTTAGTCTACCAGCTCGGCCAAAAAGGGAGACCATGCAAGCATAATGTTCGGTCCCCGGTTCAATTCCAAGCCCAGGCATTGAGTTAAAATGATGCAATCCATCTTCCACAAGCCCTGCATGGCTGCATGCACAGAGGATGCCCACATATGTGATGTAATTTGGTTTCACTCCTGCGATTATCATTTCCTCAAATATCTGGAGAGCAGCACGTGCTTCTCCATGTTGTGCATATGTTGTGATCATGGAGTTCCAACATGCAACATCTTCACAAATAGCGAGGTCAAATGCTTTCCTGGCCTCCCGAATACTTCCGCATTTAGCATACATATCCACAACAGCATTCGCGACAAATGGGTCAAAATCCAAACCGCGCTTTATAATATGGCTATGGAACTGCTGACCATGTTGGAGACTTGCTAAATTGCTTGCTGCTGTGATAACGGAAGCGAAAGTGAATCCGTTGGGTCGTTGTTCTGATAACTGTAATTCTGAGAACAATTTGAAGGTCTCCTCGTTTTCCATTTGCTGACTATATCCAGAGAACATTGCATTCCAAACTACAATGTCTCTATCGTTCATCTCTTCAAAGACTAGCCTCGCGTCTCGGACTAAAGAAGACTTGCAATAAACATATATCAGTGAACTCCCTGCAAATAAGTCCACAGAAATTCCAGATTTACTTAAGAGGCCATGAACTTGCTTGCTCAATTCCAAGGTGAATAAAGAAGTCGATAATCCAAGGATGCTGACAAATGTCAATGGACTTGGGGAGAACGATGCAAGCCTCATACTATGGAAGATATCTAATGCTTCCTCCAGTTTCTCTAATCTTGAGTAACCTTCGATCATTGCATTATAGGAGACAACATTTTTCCCATCCATAACATCGAAAAGTTTCCTAGCATCCGCTAAGGCATTGCATTTCGCATACATATCTATCAAGCCATTTTTTACGAAATCATCAAACTCTAAATTGGCCTTGATAGTGTAAGCATGAACTTGCTTTCCCTGTATTAAGGCCTCGAGCGAGCCACATGATGTGAGAACACTGGTGCAAGCAAATGCATCAGGATTCCAACCCAATCCGGTCATCTCTGCAAAAAGCTTCAATGCTTCCTTATCATACGAGTTCTGCATGTACCCAGAAATCATCGTGGTCCAAGAAATCATATTTCGAACTTCCATATGGTCGAATAGCCTCCGAGCTGTTCGTTGCATGCCAGATTTCATATAACAATCGATCAGCACATTAACCACCGAAATGTCCATCTCTGCTTCTCGCCTCAGTATATGAGCATGAATTTGCTTGCCACCTTCAACAAACTCAAGCGCTGAGCAAGCACTTAACACACTGGAAATCACGTATTTGTCAGGAAGAAGGCCAGCATCTATCATCTGGCTAAACAACTGCAGAGACACTTCACTTCTCCCACATTTCACGTGCCCACTTATGATCGCAGTCCAAGTAACAGCAGTCTTATCCAATAAGCTATCGAAAACCGATCTTGCCCCATCTATCCCACCATTATTCGCATACAAAAAAACCAGAGAAGTGCCAACATAGACATCCTGACCGAGACCAGCCTTAACAACAAAACCATGCACCTGAGCTCCTTCATCAAGGCCACCCGACTGCGAACAACCGCGGATCAGACTGGCCAAAATATACTCATTCGGCCTCTCGACAGAGCTTCTCTGAAACTCCACAAAGCTCATGAGTGCTTCGCTGCAACAACTATGCCGGGCGTACATCGAAATCACCGAAGACCAAGTGATCAGGTTCCTCTCAGGCATATTATCGAACACCCGTCTTGCATCGCGCAAACCGCCACACTTTGAGTAAGAATGCAGCAGAACGTTGGCAAGAAACACGTCGTACTGGAATCCCCAGACGACCATTTGGCCGTGGAGCTTCTTGTGGTGAACGATGGCGTCGCCGGCGTCGGAGGCGGAGGCGGGAAACTGCAGGAGCTCGGCGAATTCGAGCCTTTTGACGCGCGAACCGGGAAGCGGGCGAGATGGGGTCTCCGACGGGAAGGTGGAGAAAGCGAAGGAGGAAGGTCTCGTGGCTTTGGAAATCCGGCGACATTGTCTTGCGAGGAGTGCTCGAGCGACCATAGTAGTTCGTCATCATAGGTGGTGCATTTCGCAGTGTGTCGTTGTTCTGTTAACGGTCCCGAAATAGAGGAGAGAGGACGCTAACAAGTGTGAAAATCTCAATTTACAAATCTTAATACTTGTTACGAAAGTGAATTTGAGCCCTAAAATTTATAAAAAAGTGCAATCAAATCTTTAAATTTGTTAAATTGATTCAATCGAGTCATAAAATTAACACCATCTAACTTACTAATAACGAATATTGATTTGGCCAATTTTAATATTTTCTCTTTCTTACGTGGCAATAACGACATAAGACTAAAATGACATCGTTTCGACCCAAATTTAATTTTTAATATTAATTTTATTTAAATAAAATTTTAAAAATAAGCTAAAAAAAGAAGGAGAAGGAGAAGGAGGATAGGCAGGGAGCGCTGCAAGCCATCGTCGCCCCCGCTGCCCCCACCATCGCCAGGAGGGGCCGACAAGTAGGGGTCGCCGGGCCTTGGCTGGGGGAGAGTCGTGACCCCTCGCCCGCCAGCGGTGATGAAGGAGTGGCGGCAACAACAGCGGCGAGGACTTGTAGCTCTCCCCGCCTGTCCTCCTCCTCCTTTTTTTTGTTTCTTAATATTTAGCTTATTTTTTAAATTTAATTTAAATAAAAATAGTATTAAAATATAAAAAAGCCACGTCATTGCCACGTAAGATAAAAAAAAATTAAATCAGCATTTTTCGTTAGCAAAATTAGACGATGTTAACTTTTGCAGTCGGTTGAACTAATTTAACAAGTTTTAGGATTTAATTGCGTTTTTTGTAAGTTTTAGGACTCAATTGCACTTTCGAGACAAGTTTTAGTACTTCTAATGAACATATCCCATTGTGACACAAATATTTCAAACTTTTTGTGTCACTAAAAATCCTAAATTTACCCATTATGACACACAAACCCCAAAATTATTGTGTTATAAAAAAACCCCGAAACTAATATATTCCGGATTGAACTTATATATGCGTTTGGGTTTTTTATGACATAAAAAAAAGGTTGAGGGTATTTATGTCGAAGTTGGCAAGTTTAGGGTTTTTTGTGACACAAAAAAAGTTTGAAATATTTGTGTCACAGTAAACATATCTTGAATTTTTTTTTAAAAAGGCATAATCTTTTATCTTAGCACAATTTTGCCGCGATTTTTCAAAAGTTCCAAAAAAAGGCAAAAAGTTAAACTTACGAAATAACTTTCAAAATTATGGGCAGCATAGAAAGTCGAGATTCAAATTATCTCATTATATAAGTACATGCCTTTTATTTTCGATACATTTGAAAATTCGGGGTGAAAATGGCCTTTAGAGTAAAAGTTTATACGTCTTTGATATTTGACTTGTAAATTACTAACACAAAGTCCCCAACCATGTTTAAAATATCTATGAAGAAAACTTAAATTGAGATGAACAACATAACCAAGACCAATTTGAGCGTTTTGCATCTTATAATAGGTTGGATGGATTCGTTAGAACTTATTTCGTTATTTTGAGTTTCCCTAACGAAGTTTAAAACCGATCAATTTCTAAAAAGTTATAAGTCATTTTCAACCTCGAAAAGTTGCTAAATAGGTGTGTCATAATAATGTAGGAAATTAACAGAGTGGGTCGGTCGACACGAGCAAGTCTTAGATATTCTCGAAGCTTCTCCGAGAAAGTGTTACTAATGTGAGAAGAAATCAAGACAACTATTAAGGGTAAAAACACAGGGTGATTATTTCGAGGAAATAGGAAAACATGTGGTGGTCAATAATTAATTGACCAAATTCCAAAGAAATGGTCAATTTAATGGGGGCATAAATTGAAAATTGTCAATACGATTTCTTTACTCTTTTTTTCAACTAACAAAGTAGAAACGGCTCAATCATTGGCCTGCCAATTATTACTAACTAAAAAAAGTCTCTAGATGCTCCCCAGATGAGCAGCGATCTCCTGCGGCAAGCAGCACCGCAAGTGATGTACGCATTAGGCAACCATCGACATCACCATGATTTGCTTAACCCGAATGGAAGGCATGATCTCGCGCATCACTGTAAATATATACATATATATACACAAAATAATTGGATGTAGATCTGAACTGGATAATTTAATTTGCTTTTGTTTTAAGTAAAGCTGTGACAATCGTGATAGAAAATGAAAATATTTTCAGTAAAGAATTATTCAGATTATAAGAACGTATCTTAATCGATCTCCCTTTATAACAGACGATCAATTTTTGATCACTCATGATTGACACATTATTCATATAGAATACTTGTACCTATCCAAATTCATAAAAAGGATTTTTTTTAAAATTAAAACAAGATGTGTTCCGACAAAAAAAAAAACACTGAAAAAGTTGTATATATTGATCCATTAAAATAATGATCTAGAGAGGTATATAGAAAAAATTGAAAAATGAATTAATTAGTTTCGACGGCTATGTGAATTTTAACCAAATATACTGGACCTTCTTATGTGAAAAAAAAAACAAATTTGTGATATGATTATTTATTAGGATATGGTGAGTGTTGGTTTTGCAATTGCGCTAATTCAGTTATAAATATTTTGAACCAATTCAATCATAAACCTTTTGTATTTGTGCTGATTTAATCCATCTGGCCAATTTTGGCCGGTTGTCGCTGACGTGGATGCTGGCCGATATCAGCTGTCCAGTCAATGCTGACATGACAATTTTTAAATATTTTTTTGAATTTTTAATTTTTTTTCCTTTTTCCTTTTTCTTTCTTTTCATTCTCTTTCTTTATTTTCCTTCCTTCTTTCTCTGGTCGGCAGAGCGGTATCGCCGGCCCTGGCGAGGCGAGACTCACGGTTGCTACATGAGGGCAAGCTCACCCAGCCACTGACGAGACGAGGGTCGACCTCGCCGGCCCCTAACGTGGCTCGCCTCGCCATCGATTAGGCGAGGCCGACCTCGCCCAGCTACTAGTGAGACTCGCTCTCACTGGATCTGGCGGGGGGGCTCCCCCTTGCCAGGAGCACGCCCAGCCACTGGCGAGGCTCGCCCTTGGCCGATGGCCGGGCGGCTACACAGTAATACGGTGGGCGGCGATGTAGAGGATCAAGCGGGGGGCTACTGTGTAGCGTGACCCCTTTTTTGTCGTTATTGGTGGTGGGGAAGACTCGTGTTCCTTGCGGGAGGGAGGGAGGAGGGAGGATTGGGGGGGAAATTATTAGGCGATAGCGACGGGCCACGTGGGTTGTTGGTCAGTAATTGTCTTTTTTTGATGGTGGTTGTGGTTGGGGATGGGGCCAATCCCCTGGCCCCACGTGGCTCGTCGTGAATCGCGTCAGTCCCAGTCCCCTCCCTGGGTCCCACCACCCCATCATCACCATGATCATGATGATGATGGCGATGATGCAGATCGCATGCATTGCGTTCCCATGCATGCATGCATGCTTGGGTACGTTCTATATGCCCCGTGAACATGATTATCTGGATGCATGCCGTGCGGTACGTAATGAACATATCGATGAAGCCTTCTTTCCGCTTGATTTTCACTTAATCGAGTGGCTTCGCCTTTCGATGTTAATATACAGCCCTGAAATTTCGAACTACGGGCTAAATCGATTGAAAAATAGAGCACCCGCCTTTTCATCGCGGTGATTGGAGATAATGTTGTGCGAATTTATTCGAACATTCGACTAACTTCTCTAGATCGAGACGATTCCCCGCCTCATGAAAGTCGGTAATCATCACATCAGATAGATGTTACGAAATGATACCAGATCTATTTCGAGGTGATTATTTTTTAAATTATGCACGTGTTCAAACGGATCTCCAAAAGATTACGTGACGGGTCATTTTGAAAAGGTAAATTATGAAAACATCGATTTTCCTTGGCGTGAGGGGTTTTTTTTTTAATCTTAAAAGAAAGGTTTCCAATTTGAATCGGTATTGCTAATAATAATTATTTGTAGCATGCTTATGCTAAATATTTTTTTAAAAAAATAAAACAAAAAAAATTAAATAAAAAAGGACAACTTTATAGCCGATAAGAAAGTGGTCTGCAGCAGAGCTCGGCTGGCTTATCATGAGCCTCCAATTTTTAAGGATCATTGCATGACCGAGCTGGTGGGACGAGCTGTCCAGCTGTTTGTTGTCGGCTCGGCTCGATTTGTCTGCTTCGGATATTCCATTTTCGAGTTGGAATATCTCTTCACATATATCCATTTGATAAGCACATCTTTTTCTTCTTTAATTCTTTTTTTTTCTTCAAGAAATTGGTCCCGTCAACATCATCCCCCCATTTGTTTTCGTTAAATTTGATTCATATTACGAAAAACCTTAAATTGATAATTTATCGAAAACTAACTAGGCAAAATTATTACAAGTGTATAAGTTTTGGATTTTTTGTGATCAATAAATTAGTTTTTAATAAAATTATCACAAATATATCAGTTAGGAGTTTTTCGTGATATTGACCCTTAACACAAATCCCCCTAGAGAATAACATCATTCATGATACAAGATTATTTTAGGTGCTCTTGAGAACGAATTCAATAGAAACGGGGTCAAGCCTATAGCTCGGAGAACTAGAGCAGCTAGCCACCAGCCACGCGGCCGGAGGTTTGGTCCTTCCTCGCCCGCAACCGACTTGATAAAGGAAGGACCTTTCCTCACGCATGCAGTAAAGTTAGGGCATTCGAGATACATGCTACGAAATTATTGAAATTTTTAGGGCGAATTTATGTGAAATTTGAGTTTCTCTTCAAATTTCCCTTTTTCATGCCAACCCAATTTCCCGCTCACTTCCCTTTTTTTTGGTTAATTTGTTCTAAGCATCTTTTCACTCTTGAACCCCACACGATAAATCTAGCAAGCCATACTTTATATTGATAAGGATCAATTAAAAAAAGCCTTAATTCATGGACCCACCATTTAATACTTGTTAATTTTTAGCCATCGCCCACCATATAATAAAATATTTTCGTTACCAATTTTATATCATTTTTCGCAACCAATTCGGCGCTTAAAGTTAAGTTTAGATCCGCCATCTCCGGGAATAATTGCCTGGGAAATTAACCAATTTTCAAAGATGCAATCACCTTGTCG